TCTTTCTTTCTTTCTTTTGGTACTGGGAATTGAACTCAGTACCTCAGGCTTGCCAGGCAGGTGTTGTGCCACTGAACTATATCCCAGCCTTCTAACTTCTTCTTTAATTTTATCTGTGACCCATTGGTTGTTCAGGAGGGTGCTATTTAATTTCCATGTGTTTATGAAGTTCCTGTAGTTTTTTTGCCACTGATTTCCAACTTCATAGCACTACAGTTTGATCATATGCATGGGATAATTTCAATTTCTTAAGCATGTTCTATGAGCTAATATTGTGGTATATTTTGGAGAACATTCCATGTATAGCTGAGAAGAATGTGTATTCTGATGTTGTGGAGTGGAACACTCTGTAGATATCTACTAAGTCCATTTGTTCAAAAATTTGACTCAGTTACAATATTTCATTGTTGATTTTTTTGTCTACTTGATCTATTTTTTCCACAGTGGGTATTACATTCCCCCAATACAATTGTATTAGTGCTTACTTGACATTTCATGTCAAATTTTCATGTAATATTTGTTTTATATAGTTAGGTAAACTAGTATTTTTTTATATATATATAGGTTATTTCTTCTTCTTTGTTTGTTCCCTTTACAAGGATATAGTGACCTTCTTTGTCTCCCTTAATCAGTCTTGCCTTGAAATCCACTTTGTCTGCAAATAGAATAGCTACCCCTGCTTTTTTCCAGATTCCAGATTCCAGATGAAATATTGTTTTCTATGCTTTGACTTTCAGTCTATGATTTTTTAAATTAAATGTGTTTCTTGTATGCAGCATATTTTTGGATCTTGTTTCTTGATCTAGTCTGTTAGTCTGTTTCTTTTGATTAGTGAATGTAGACCATTAATATTGATGGCTATAACTGATATGTATTGATTTATACTGATTGTGTTATTTTCCTGTTGTTGGCTCCCATTTTTCTGCTCTGTTTACTTGTTTGCCTTCACTGGTGGATTAATTCTGCTGGGGTTCATGGAGTTGTAGTCCCTGTTATGTCTTTCTAGAATGTCCTTCAAAACATTTTGGAGTGCTGGTTTAGTGTTCATGAATTTCCCCAGATGTTCTTTGTCATGGAAGTATCTTATTTCTTAATCAATTTTGAAAGATAATTTTGCAGGATACATCAATCTGGGGTTTGGGAGGTTATTTTCTTTTAGGGTTTGAACTACTTCACTGCAAGCTGTCTTTGACTTGAGGGTTTGTGTTGAGAAGTAAGCTGTGATTCTGATGGGATTTCCTCTATATGTGATTTGCCTTTTATAATGGCTTTTACTATTCTGTTCTTGTGTTGAATTTTTAGAATCTTGACTATTATATGCCTTGCTGTAGATAGTTTTGATCACGGGTAACTGGAGTTCTCCATGCCTCACTTACTGTGTGTCAAATTCTTTTACCCTGTCAGGGAAATATTCTGCCATGCTGTCTCTGAACAGATTTCTTACATCATTTGCACTATCTCTTGCTTTTTCATTGACTCCAATCAATCTTATGACAGTCTTTTTGGGATCATCTAGGATCTGTTGGATTGATACCTTGTGGTCCCTTGTGGCTATTTAAAAAAAATCTTTCTTTTCATGATTGCTAACCACAATCCTGTCTTCTATATCTAATAGTCTGTCCTCACATTGCCTCATCCTGCTGTGTATACTTTTAATAGAATTTTTAATCTCCTGAGCTTGGTTTATAGATTTCATTTCTTTCCTATGTTGACATCTACAGCTTCCATTATTTTCCTAAGCTCCTGTATTTTTATCTGTATCTGCTCTGGAGCTACTAGGTGTGTCTTTCATTGTGGTCACCATCTCTGAAATTATAAGAAATTATTTCTGATTTGATTTTTTTCTAGCACTTTATTCGTTTGCTTTGTTACTTACGCTGTTACTACGTAGAGGTCAGGTGGGTGGCTTTTGGATTGTCCTGCCTCATTGCCCCCTGGACTTGCCTTTGGTGAGCTGGACATCAGGGACTACACCTTGTTTAAGTGTCTTCTCATTTTTTTTAGTTTAATTCCTCAGTTGATGCTCATAAATTGCCTCTGGTGAGTTCCCTTACTGCTAGTATTTAGACCTATAGTAAATGACTACTTCTCAGAGGTGTCTACCAAGTGTAGCTGGCTTTTAGGCTTGGAGTCTGCTGCAAAATCCTACCTCTTCAATTTATTGGGGATAAATTGCTGGCTACTTGGCCCAGCCTGCAGTTCTTTGGCACTACAGTATTTTTTATGCCCCTAGGCAATCTCAGTCTTGGTATACCAAGAAGAAAAATTGGTCAGAACAGTTATGTTAACTTGGTAATGTAGTACAATCAGCAATAACAATAGCATCAAACACAGCCTAGAAAATGGCAAATTAAGGTAACTATTAATTTGCCACCTTTAACCATATGAAACAGATTTGTGGTTATATAATAAAATTTGAAACAAACCAGAAAATTATATGCAGTTAATAAGCCATCAATATGACAATTTTACCCTCTGGGGAGAAAATTTAAAAGGGTGTTGGGGGAAAAATAGAGAAATAGAAGATGAATGAGATTAGAAACAAGGCTAGAGGACAAAATAAGAGCATGCAAATCTTGGGAAACTGGTGCAGAAGGCAGGAGGGAAAGAGAAAAGGAAGAAATAAAAAGAGCAGAATAAAGCAACAACCACAAAAAAACTAGAAAACATGTTTACACTCATATAAAAACAAGAACAAGCAATGAAGAAAAAATAAAACAAATCAACCAGCAAACAAAAAATGAAAGAGAAGGAAAAAAAGAAGGTTCTTTTTAAAGTGTGTCTCTGCTGTCACTGTGGGCAATGTGAGCAAAGTCCAGATCTGTGTTGATTAATCCCAGCAAGCCAGCAGTAGCTTTATGGTGGGGTGGTTGATAATCCTAGGGAGCACCTTTATTTGTCCTGAAGTTCAGGCTGATTTCTGGCCATGAGGCTGGAAGCAGACCCATTCAGCCTGTAGCATTTGTGTGGCTTCTATGGGCCTTAATTTGGCTGGGGGCCACTAGATGAAACCAGCAGTTGTTCTGACTTCTAAGCTGACTCAGTTGGCCCCTCTGCAAGATGGCTCCCAGCCAACTGCCCTCTCCTATGGGACATCTGAACCTCCATATCACTGACCAACCACTGCAGTCCTCTGCGTCTATTACTCCCTTTTGCTGGTGTGTCTCTCTGTGGAGGCCTCTGGGACGGCCAACACTCAACTTGCATCTGCAGGTTTTAGCTGCCTTCTTCCAATCAGTGAGTCTGGGCTCAGGGAGAAGGTGCTGCCTGCAATCTCCTTCTTCTTCATAAGTTTCTCCTTTTATTCTCCCTGTGGGTCTCAATTCTCACTTTAGATTCTTCTGGGCCCAGGGGACCAATTTACCACCTTCTTCTCCTCCTCATGTTGCTGTAGTCCAGTGTCTGGACACCAAATCTTGGACAGGTTCTTTCTCTGCTGCTCACTACTCCACCATCTTCTTGGAAGTCCTCCTGAATTCATCTCAAATTCTTTCTTTTCACTGGATTATTAACTCACTTTGAAGAACTGTGGAGTATTCTTCCTGGTAGAATATCTCCAATTCTTTATTTTTTTCCCATCGTAGAGCAGATAAGTTTTCTTCTTTGAAAAAGAATTTTTTCTCTTTTTTTCCACTTCATAAAACAATGAAGTGTTTTATAGAAACTAGGTAACCTTGCATTGCTACTCAAATTCTCATTGGTGTCACTGACATAAAGTGTGTTTATTCTGTTTTAAGCTTTCAAGTATTTTTTTCAGAAGCATAGACATGAAAATTTTTTGAGTTGCACAATTAACTTGAAACTGTAAGACCATCATTATAGTAGAAACAAACAATGACAAGTCCTCATCTTGGAACAAAGAAATATTTATGGCTAATAATATCTCCTCTGATTGCAACTGTATTTGATTATTCTAATCTATTAAACGGGAATAATAATAATATGCAAATAAACAGAATATAAAAAGGCATTAATTCAGTTTAGAATTCAAGCTGTTAATACAACCTTTTACTTTGCATAGGACTTTGCTAATACTTTGTATGTGTGTCAATGCCTATGATGTCCTGAAAAAAAAAATAGAACATTCTGGAGCACTGTGGACATGTGAATGGGAAAGCAGCTTGCAAAGATCAAGTTTAAAAATGTTTTCTTTAGTGATCTGAAACATAGCACCATGGATTATCTCTTCATACCAATGTTTAGTATTACTGTCATGAAGCAAGGAGTTAAAAGGATAAAATAAAAGATACTTTAGATTTGTATTTTAATACAAACCTTAAATAAGTGCCTTTCTCAGGTTGTCTTTATTTTCCTTTACGTAATTGTTCATCAGTCTACATTTGCATTTCTCTCCTGCCTAGACATAGGAACTTTGTTGAATAAGGAAAAAATATCCTTTAAAATTGTTTGCATTATAATCTATTTTCCAGTGTTGGTTTACTTTATTCATTAGTCATGATTTTTAAAATACTGGTAGGCAAGGTAGAATAAATATTTTTAAAAATATTATGCTTCCTGAACTGCTTCATATTATGCCTGGCCCTCATGAAAACACCAAATAAATGATTGAAAGAACTGTTAAGACTTTGACAATTCTTACAGATGGACTAAATGCCTTCTGCCTAAAGGGATGTACATGACTCTTTGGGGGACCAGGATCAAAATGTTATGGTTCTAATATAATATACTATTAATATAATATAATCTTAATAAGTTGTCAAAGTCTTATTGGAGTTTAGAAACTTTTCTGTAATAGACATTAAATTTGGCTAGTATTCAAAAATTCCTTATTTATGTAATTATTATCACTTGGAAATACTTAAACAATTTGAGTTTCCTTAAGATCTATGATTCCTCAACGATATGTTGTAACATTTTTGTTGCCATCAGAAACATTCACCTAAGTGAAGAAGATCACTGGATTTACCAGGCTGTTTTAGATCAATATCCTGGAGATCTCACTGGCAGAAGAACTCTGTATCTGGACATGCTGCAAAGATATTTTCCTCACAAATCTAGGCATGACTTGGTGAGTGCTGAATCTTTCCTTTATACTGACAAGTTGAATTGTTTTAGTAGTCAATAATTACTGACTATGCACTTTTGTAATTGCTTTAAATTAAGCAAGTTATAGCAATCATGTGTATTGAAGTTCCTATGTCGTCCCGTAGAAACTCCTTTAGCAGGCTGTTTTATTTACTTTTTGTTGTTGCTGAGACAAAATGCTCAACACGCAAAATTAAAGAAGGAAAGGTTTATTTAGCTTATAGTTTGTGCATGTTTTAATCTATAATCAGCTAGCTTCAAGGCAGGGTGGCAGGGCACAGAGCAACACTTCAAGGTAGCACAGGATAGCAAAAGCAGCAAGAGCAAAAAGGGAAAGCAAGCCTCTTTTCCTCCCTTGTATTGTGTGCTGGCTATCTGCCCAACCCACACTGTCTTAGTGCCCTCCTCCTGTACAGGATAGGATGAGTACAAAAAACATCCTAGAGCAGGAAGGGCATGTCCTTTTCATGCCAGGAGGTATAACTGCTGAGTTACTTAGTGAAGCTTTTAGACTCCTCAAGTTGACATAATGTATCAACCTTAATATTCCACCCCTTGTCAACTTTGCAGACACATTTTTTAAACCAGTTTTTAGGTACAAGACATTATTTTTATCATTTTACAACTTGAACATTATAACACAGGTTGAACAATCCTTAAGAACCAGTATTACGTATATTAACATTATATTATATTAGAACCATAACATTTTGATCCTGGCCCCCCAGAGACTCACGTACATCCCTTTAGGCAGAAGGCATTTAGTCCATCTGTAAGAGTTGTCAAAGTCTTAACAGTTTCAGCATTGCTGAAAGGTCCAAGTCCCAAGTCTTTTTTGAGATTTAAGGCAAACTCTTAGTTGCAAACCCCTATACAAATAAAAAGTTAGACACTTTCAACATTTAATGGCACAGAATAAATGCTTTTATTCCAGAAGTTACAAATATGAGAATACAAAGGATTAGGACCAAGGCAAGTCCAAAATCTAGCAGGGCAAATATTCACTCCCATAGTTTTATGTCTAGCATCTGAAGCAATCTGTGGCACATTGTGAGCTCCAAAGGGCTTATGTGACTCCACCCAATGGTACTTTTGGTGGTTGTAGCTCTCATGGCTTTTTTCTTGGGGCCACTTTGCTCCTTCCTTGTAGCTTTCCTGTGACAATCTACATTTTTAGTTTTTTTAAACTTTTGGGGTCTCTGATGAACCTTTTGCTTTACACTCACAGCTTTACACATTGCCCTCTCAAGGGCACACTGTGGCTTCCTAGGCCTTTTGAAATCTAGGTGGAGGCCTTTAAAACTTCAGAACTCTTGCATTCTGTGTGCATGTAAGACCAGTGCTATGTAGATGATGTCAAGGTCCGCTGCAAGCTGGAGCAGTAGCCAAGCTTTTTTTTCTTGGCTGTAGGTGTCGAGTGCCTGGATCTCTCAGCACTCTGAACCTGATTCTGAGGAACAAATTTTTTATATTGCCCCCATTTTAGAACCTGGTGCAACCTCTGCTTCCATTTTGGAACTTAGTTTGGTTGCTACCATTCTGGAACATGGTGCTGTGTGGCTTTCTTCTCAAAGCAAAGTCTTTCACTTTTGCAGTTTTGAGGCTGAAAAGGGTGAAGACATGCTGTTTCTTGTGATGCATTCAGGCCATCTTTTATATTTTCCTTTTTTTTTTTTTTTTTGTTAAGCAATGGAGATCTCCTCAGCTCTATCTCTGCAGTCCACAGCTTTATTGGAACTTTTTTCTGGCTAAACTCACAACATTTTAAATCATCCTACTGGGCTCTTTGCTCTTGATTTGCAGCATAAATCCAGCTAAAAGCCCCTAACAATGGCCATACCTCAGCTTCAACATTCAACTACCTTGAAATTTATTTTACCAGATTAATCAGTCTGCCACCCTTAATCTCAGTCTCAGGCAAAGTCCCTGGACAGGAATAAAATGCAAACAAACTTTTTGCCAAGCCATAACACACATCAGCTGGAGTTCACCTCCCAATGCAGTCCTTTTTCCCAGAAGAAACCTCCCGAACCTGATCTTTACCAACAGGATTTTTATCAGCCTTCTGGTAGTTTGAGCTCTGATCAGGATCTCCCATACAGAACATCCAAAAGTGTTCTAGTGCTTCTCTTTTGGGTGAAATCCTCAAATACTTTTTAAACACTTCCCGCAAGCCATTTCCAAAGGCTCTTGAACCACATGCTCAGGTATAGTCACAGCAATGGCCCCCACTTCTGGTACCAAATTTTGTCTTAGTTACTTTTTCTGTTGTTGTTGAGATAAAATTCCCAATGCCCAAAATTAAGGAAGGAAAGGTTTATTTAGCTTACAGTTTGTGGAGATTTCATTCTATAATCAGCTGGCTCCAAGGCAGTGTGGCAGGGCACAGGGGCAACACTTCAAGGTGGCACAAGACAGCAAAAGCAGCAAGAGCAAAAAGGGGGCAAACAAGCCTCTTTTCCACCTTTGTATTGTATGCTGGATATCTGCCCATGCCCACACTGTCTTAGTGCCCTCCACTTGTACAGTCTTAGGATGAACACAAAAAACATCCTAGAGCAGGAAGGGCATGTCCTTTTCATGCCAGGATGTATAACTGCTGAGTTATTAAGTTAAGCTTCTAGACTTCTCAAGTTGACACAATATATCAACCATGACACATGTATAACAGTGAGGGGAGAGAAATACTATTGTTGTCTTTAATTTCCAAAGAAACAAAAGCGAAGTCCATGCAGTTACTGTGGCTGTCCTGTCCCCTACTTTTTATCCTTTCCACCATAGCCTTGACAAGGATTCATTTTGACTATGGTTTATAGTAAGTACCTGTCATGTAATAAATAATTCATTCTGGAAATGAAAAAATTCTCAATTTATTGAATTAGAGCTTCCTTTTTGTCCTTATGAATTAATGTGCTTCTCCATCCAGCTATCATCGTGGCCTTCGTACCTTTTGTTTTCCTGCTATTAACACGATAGAGTTTTATATTTATTTTCTACATCAGGTTGTTTAGTATATGTTTCTCCATGGTATATACTTTTCTTCTTTGTGTTTACAGATGTTACATATATTTTTGGTTTTATGGAACAAAGCTAAGAAGTGTATAGAACAGATTTTGGTAGCTGATATTTGGTTCAAGTGAGAGCATAGTTTGTTTCATCATGTACCTAATCAGTCATGCCTACAGCATTACATTAGTTGGGACATACCTTATCCTACTTGCTAGTTTCTTTGCTCACATCTTTTAGGGATTAAATAATATGTCAAACTCAGAGATGTGGCCTATGCTAGAAAACAGAAAAGACATTAGATCAGTATGTCTCAACCTCAGAAGACATACTTTTGCACAAGCTTTTGAGAATCCCTGCAAGATTTTTCAAACTACTCAGGCTTTCTTCATTCCTGCCCTTTCCCCTCAAGATTCTGATACTTCCCATGGTTGAGAGTTGCCACTGAAAGAGCTCCTTGTACTGTACTCACCTGAGAGTGTCCTGTCCTCAAGAGTATAGGGTGGGAAGGGTTACAGTTAAGGATTAGGGTTAGGGTTAGGGTTAGGGTTAGTATACTTGCTTTACTACTATACTTGTTTTAATGTTAAAAATCTGAGCTTTCCAATAATTAAGGATAAAACTGAATTTTCTGGATTATTATGGCAATTTTTAACTTTTATTGACATGTTTGTCTAACTGGAATCCTATTTGTACTTGTCAAAACTGATTTAAACATGGCATGTTTAAAAAATATTGTACATTGGGAGAAATATTGCTTTCTACTCACTAAACCTATTTCTTCTCATTGTGATGAAGTGAAAGTTATTTTAGAGGCCTGACTCCATTTTACCTGAGGAAACTAATGACTCAGATGCACTAAATGACTTGTTCTCCATCAGCTACACACTCTAAAAGTCCAAGCTAGTGCCTGATCCCTTGTTACTGTATTTGCTACTAAGCTGTTTATATTCAGTTTTTCAATATCATTAGGTATAATTAATTGTATTCATTTTTACAACAATGACATAAAATATGGGTTGATTTTAATGCTGATAAGTATGCACCATATGTTATCTTTTCAGGTAGAACATGAGAAATACTGTGACCAATATCACTTTGCTAGGGAGCAGCGAAGAATTTTGATAAAAAATTGGAGTAAGAATAGGAAAGACTTTATACAGAAAGCAGTGTTGACCCTCCTTGAGGCCTCTGCCACTTATAACATGGAAAGCACATTGGCAAAGGACAGGAAAAAGCAACAGGATTTGTGTGCTGATCTGAAAGCCAAGGTAAGGTGTTTTTTGGGTCTTTTGCTATTTGCCTATGTATGCATGCAAGAACCTACTTTTCCTTGTGATCAAACCCAACCTAAGGTTCAGCTTCTCTACGAAGCCTATCTTGAATAAAACTGTTTTCTGAGCTACATAAAATTGTAATTCTTTAGGCCCAATATAGTCAACTATCAGCAGTTTCATAAGTTTCAACCTAAAGTTACTATAACAGAATGTTAAGATTGAAATTTTTTGTGTATTTAAAATTTTATGAAAAATAAAGCAAACTTCATAAGAAAAGAATAGAAGAATAGCAATAGTTAATACACCATGCATCAGTATCTTCAAAGTAGTTACGACTCTGCAGTTTTAATTGAAATGTTCAACACCCATCATACAGGCTGCAGACCAGAGTGAAATGTTGTGTGCCATTGCAGAATGTGTCATAATGTAACTGTCTAACTCTGAGTCAAACATATACTAATAAAAATAATTCCAAAAGGCTCATGGACTTCTTATTCACATCAGAGATATGAAAAAGTCAAGCTATGAGAAAAGGAAAGGATTCATGTGACGACGTGTAGGACAAGGTGCTGGGCTGTGTATGAGCCTCAACAGGTCTAGAGGAGTAGATGGGGATTTCCTTCTTCTCAGACCTGGGACAGAGGCCTCCCAGGTCACCCTTAGTTGGAAAGGTTGAGGGCTGGTGTCTGATGTTTGTGGGGAAATACAGAGGAGCTGCCTCAGTGGCAGAGTAAAAGCATGAACAACAGCTGTGTTGTGAGTGAATGCTGGCCCCAGACTGGCCACCGGTGCCGGAGTTGTGGAGGCCTGGTGCTCCCCTAGGAGTGCTGGCAGCAGTTGTTAAAACAACTGGTATTGAGGTTCAGCAAAAAGTGCACAGTAAAATACACAAGGCTTTGTTTAATAATAAATGATGTGGTAGGAGAATGATGGCACAACATGAAATTTTATTCTCGATGCAAAAAAAAAAAACCTGGCAGACATTATTGTGTAGCAGTTAGTAGTATGTAAAGAAATGTGTCTGTTTTAAAACATGAGAGGAAAACTGCTTGCTCTGTATGATCTTTAAAAGTTTTTTCATAAGTTTAGGGCCTACAAGTCATAGACATTGCACTGAAGCTGATCTTACCACAGGCTACAGAGCTACCCATGTCTCGCCTCCATTGTAGAATGATAGGAAATACAGGGCCATAACAAGTTCTTAGTTAGTTTTCACTCCTAGTTAGTTTTCACTCAATTGTACATGTTAACATAAGCCCTTGAGCTATTCTGCCAGTGTGTATTCTTTGTTTTGTATTGCAGTGTGTTGTGTTGTACTGTATTGTGGTAATCAGATATGCAATAAAGTGAACGGTACATAAGTATGGTATTACATAAAGTTTTGCTTATATACACCTGCATGTAAACACCATTGAGATTAAGATATAGAATTTCTCTGCAGCTCAGAATGTTCCCTCATGGTTCTTCCTAGTATATACTACCTGTCTTAGTTTCTTGTCTCACTGCAACAAAATACCTGACACCTAAAGTTAAAGAGAGAAAGGTTCGTTTAGCTCACAGTCTGTAGAGGTTTCAGTCCATAACTGGCTGACTCCAAGGCAGGGTGGCACATGGCAGAGGGGCAACAGTTCATGGTATCAGAAAGCAGCAAAAGCAAGCAAGGCGAGAGAGAGAGAGAGAGAGAGAGAGAGAGAGAGAGAGAGAGAGAGAGAGAGACGTCTATCTTTCCCTTATATTGTATGCAGACTACCCACCGAGGGCAGGGGTAGCATTCACACCCTTAATCCCAGCATTGGACCAAGAATCAATAAGAAACTCAATTTATCCCCCTCCAAAAAGTCCTTCCCCCATGACTGAATGAGATTTTGGGGGAGCATCCAGACACGAACCATAACTCTACCCTTACCTGAAATCACTCTTCTGACTTCAGCATAGATGAGTTTTGTCTGTTCCAGAACTTGATGTAGATTAACTAATACAGCACAACTCCTTTATACTTCTTGTGGTCGTCATATCTGGTTCATTGTATGTTACCATCATGTATTCTTTTCACTGTTGTGTAGCATCTCATTTACATATCACACAGTTTCTGCTCCCTGTTAATGAAAATTTTCATTGTTCCTAGAATTTTGCTATTATGATGGTAGTGCTATGAGCATTCTTTGGTGTGTGGTTTTTTTAGGCATATGCACTCATTTTGGTTGGACAGATATTCAGGAGCAGAACTGCTGGATCACAAGGTTTAGGTGTGTTTATGTGTAGTAAATATTGCCAAAATATGTTCCCAAAGTGGTTATGTACGTTTGCAGCCAGTTTCAGCTGCTCTACATCTTCAGCAGTTTTGGCACCGTGAGTCCTTAATTTCAGCTACTCTGTTGGCTAAGTAGTGATGCCTCATTATATTTTTAGCTTGCATTTAGAATAATAACTTCAAACATCTTTTTCTTACCCTCTTTTGTGAAATGCCCACTCACTCTTTTGCCCATTGTTTCTCTTGAGGTTTCTACTTTTTTCTCACACATTTGTATATTCTTTACATATTCTGCATACAAATTCTGTAAGTTTTTGTTTTCTTCCAGTCAGTGGTTTGCCTCTTCACTCTTGATGTCTTTATATGAACAAAATTTTAATTAAGTATTGTTTTTAATTTTAAATGTCTTTGAGATATGTTATATATAACCAATTTCAACTTATTAGTGTATAGTTCTATGAGTTTTGCAAATGCATGTAATACTACTATGGTCAAGATGCAGAATGATCCCATTACCCTGCAAAAATCTTCAACCTTACACCCATGTTTAGTGTTTTGCAACTGCTGATCTGTTTTCTCTCCCTATACTTTTGGCTATTTTAAAATGTCATATAAATGTAATCATACAGATTATAGGGGCTTCAGTCTTGTTTTCTTTGCTTAGTATGAGGCATGTGAGATCCAGTCATATTCATGTTGGGATTGATAGCTGGTTTTAGTTTACTGCGGAGTAGCTAGAATTTGATGATATGGATACTCTGTATCGCAGCGTATCCACTCACCAGTTGTGTCCAATTTTTGGCAATGAGTGTTGCTGCGCTTATGGTAGGGTGGGCTTCAAGTTCCCCTGTGAACCTGTGCCTGTGAAAAGGCCTCTTGCCATGCCCCTGTGCCTTCCTCCTCACTAGATTGTCGCTAGACATTTGACAGAAGGGAAGAGGAATTTTATTTTCCCTAATATCCTGGTGCAGCCTGTGTCCCTGGGTCTTGGGACTCAGTGATCCTGCTCATTTCCCTCAGCAGACAAACTGCTTCATGCCTTCTCTCATGAAGGAGGCATTTGCCTGCCCCTTCCCCTGGAGCAGAGATTATCCTCCCTCTCTTTCCCTGACTGCAAGAAACTGTTCTGTGCCCTGTGGGTTTGCTATTCCCCCCCGCCCCATCTATAGTGTCTCATTTGGTAGGGCTTTGATTTTTCTCTCTTACACAGCACTGTCATTGTAAACTGTCTCTATCTCCTATCCTGGCCGTGATTTTTCTTGTGAGCACTCTGTGAATTCCATGGAGAAAAGCCTGTGAGAGGGTGTGAGTTCTTGTCTGTAGGTTCTACAGTTCCATATTCTAAAGCTCTATCAAATTATCAAAAGGTGCTGATCATTAACATTTATCGATCCATTACAAAGCTTTATCTGTAGTCCTTCTACCCACTCCACGCAGGCCTTGTTTTCCCCAGGTGCTGTGCTGTGGATGATCCATTTTCCCCATTGTCTGTTCTTGGGTGCATCTGTCTTTCCTTGTATTTTAGGCTGCTTTGTTGCCCATTATCTCTGCTCTCTGATGGGCTCAAGAAAAGTCTTGACATGCGGAATTCGGTTTTTAAAATTTTTGCTCTTAAACTGGGAGTGACATTCTTCCTATCTTGCTGTACCTAAATGGAAGCTGGAAAATCCTAACGAACTCTCACTCACTAATATGTCCTGTAAATTGTTGGACAGTGACAAGGAGTCTTCCCAAGGGCAAATGGACCCAAGAGCCAAGCATTGGGGTACAGTAATACATGGGAAGTTGATAGGCAGAAGAGAAGTGGCTAGTCAACAGAAAATGTGCATGACCCTCACCAGGAATTGCACAGCTTGCGATCATTGCAACAAAGTTCCTAGAGGGGCAAGAGACAGCATTAACTACCTGTCAGGTTTGCCTAGACCAGAGTCATTCATCATCACATGAGAATTTTACTGGTCTCCTCTTTAGTGCTCCTTTACTTTTCCTTCCCATGCCTGTGGGCCCTGATGGTGTAAGCATCTAGACAATGAAATAAGTCATCTTCTGAATGCAGGAGAAAGAACTGACTCATCTACTGGAACTGGACTCTTTGAATCAAGACGGTTTTAAGACTTATAGTTACTGCGGGCTTTGTAACCCAAGAGCCATATGTTCCCTTGGGTATTCATCTGGTGATAGGAGAAACATCTGAGTAGGGGACAAAAATAATGCTGTGTTTTGATTATTTCCCATATAGCAAAATATCAAATGTGTCAAGCACACTCTGCTGAATGCTTCCTGTATGTCAGGCATTCTAATAGATGCTTTATGTGCATTTTCTGATCATGTCCTCAGTCACCGGTCTAAATTGAGTTGTGCAGAAATTGCTGCAGAATATCCACCTGCTGAAGTCAGAGGTGCCATCCCAGGAAGCACAGAATGTGAAGTCTCCTCAGAAAAGAGTGATCACAAGAGGCCTGCTGTGGCTTGAGCTGTCCCACAAAGGTTTATGTGCTGCAAGCTTGTGCCCGTGTGCGAGGTTGAGAGGTGGAAGGACCTTCAGATGCGGGGCCTAGTAGGAGGCAACTAAGCCGTGGAGTACCACCCGAGGAGGGACAAATGCTGGCCTCACAGAGTCAGTTAGCTCTTGAGAGAATCGTTATAAAGCAAGGCCACCCCAAGTGCTTGGCCATTTCTGCATGCAGCCAGTTCCTTTTCTGTGTCTCCAACATGTTGTGATAACAGGGTAAGAGCTGGGAAG